TACAGTACATACCACACAAATTTGATTTCAAGCATCCACTTCTGACCACTTGAGATAGCTTGAATGATGTCTATTCTATCCGAGCGTCCAAAAAAGTTATCTTCTTCTTTTATGACTGATAGTCCCTTAATGATAGTTAATGATAAGAAACACTACACATCTAAATGCATTCTACATATCATTCACGAGTATAGCGGTGCATAAATAAAAGGAATAAACACAAACGTTTTTTTTTCTATACAAACTTTACCACGCAAGTTGACATTCAATAATCTAGAGGTACTGAAGTCGTTATTAAGTTATACTAATTATACTCACACTTCATTCGAATCACCAGGAAAACAGAAAGCTCATAGTTTATGCTAAACTTCCCAATCCTCATGAACTTACGTCATACTTTGTGCATGTTCAGGTTTCCACTGTTAAATTAATCTCTTCTGAATGTGATTTTCTGGGACAAGATTTTTTTTTCAATCTATCTGTCAAGTATCTGAATTATGTAAGCAATTATGATGATACTTTGTCACATCGATGTCAACTAATACATCACTGATTACTTGGAACTAGAATCTCAGTAAAATAAAATTATTCTGACAAGAGCACTAAAATACACACTTATTTCTTCTGATGAACTCTTCATTGGTTATTAAAAAAAATGTCTATTAATAATTTTGCTTATTACAAAAAGTACAGGTTATTACCCTGGCTCCTGTTTGTTTCGATAATTATTTCAGTCATTTGGAAATCCTTGTAGATATTAATTTCATTTTAAGGGTTTCTTTCTGATAGTAACCAATATCACAAATATCAATATAATTCATAATACACACTACTTTAGCTGGTAGTTGAAATAAAAAGGTACAAAAATCAACAATATTTATTATATAATATAGATATTTTAAAAGTACAAAAATCAATAGTACTTTCTTATAAGTACCATTACTTTTCAGCCTCCATGCTAGACAAGCACAATATGGACGCAAATATATTCAGCAAGAATGGTATGTGTAAATAATTTTGATCAATGGTCAACAAAAAATATTTATATATATAAAAATTAATATAAAGGGCCTGGTATAACATTTTTGTGCATATCAACTTGTATATTTTTATAAAGAAATTTAAATCCTGCTCTGTACATGGAAAATGTACAAACCTCTGTATTTCCCCAACATCAATTCCATTAAAAATATATTGCTGGCAGCTACAACCTAATGATCGTAAGTACCAATGCTATAAGCAATCTAGTCACTGAATATCACAAGAAATCTGCTGTATTAATAATATACATGCACATCAAGTTACATAAAACAATATCAAACAATTTTCAAGACAACGCCAGTTTCGTTGCCACTCTACAAGTCCAACTCAAAGTCTGCATCGTCAATGTCATCTGCAGGGGCGAATTTGGACCTCGTGAAAGAGAGGGGCGCGGGCTGTTGGCTGGACTTCCCTTGGCTGGAAGGGAACACAGGCTTCTTGAAGGGGAGGATGAGCCTTGGCCGCTCACTCTTGGCAGCTGTCGGATCTCCTGCTCTTCCACTGTTCCCCTGCGCACCTGTGTTGTTGTTCTCCTTCTCCAAATGTTGGTCTGTATCTCGGACTAGCCCCTCCTGAGCCCCTTTACTTGAAGTGGATGTCAGGAGGAAGGAGGATCTCTTGCTCTTGGCGAATATTGAGCTGGCCCCGAGTATGGGAGAACTCCGGTTTTCTTGTGTTGGATGTTTTAGACTGGCAATTTGGGATGGAGGATGGGAACCTGACTTATCCGTTTCATTACCTTGTCTATTATCTTCAATACTATTCCCTTCCTCCTCTGAGCTCTGGACACGACTCACTATACCCACTGAGGTGGATGATGCCCTTTTGGTTGACTGGGCCTCGCTGACCTCATCACTAACTGGTATCTTTTCAGCAGGTTTTGGATTCCTATTCGTTTGCAGCTTATTTTTCTGTGAAAGTATACCAAGGAATGGAACCTTCCCAAAACTAGAAGAGGTAACATTCAAAGATGGTTTAGTGCTTTCAAAGTCTTCTAGATCATCAAGCAGGTCATTCATGGCCCTGTCTACCTGAATCTGCGAAGATTCTAAAGTACTCTTAGTTGCCTGTGGTCCTGGTGTGCTAGTCATGGACGTGCCTCTTGGTCTGCCTCTTTTAGATTTCTTTTTTGGTTGGGTGTCTGCAACGTGTGTCTCTTCTTCATTCTGTTGCTTTCTCTTCTGACTCTTCTTTCTCTTGTTCTTTCCAAAGAAATCTGCACTTTCTTCTTCCTCCTCCTCCACTTCCCCCAGCAAAGTACCAAAGGACACATCCAAGTCCGGAGACGGGAGGCTTGTGTCCGCCCTCTTGGGTTGCATCTCATCTATCCTCTGCTGCCTGCTTCCCCCTGGCCTCCGTCTCTTCTCTCGCTCCTCCAGTTCCTCGATGATACCTGGGTTTGTCTTGTCTTCGCTCACGGAAGGCTTGAACACATTCTTTGAAACATACTTCACTGTCT